CGTCGCCCTCGGACTCGAAGCCACCGTCACCCGTGTCGTTCACCGTGTCTTTCACATCCTCATCCTCCTCCGGCTCAATAAGAACCACAGGGCCGTTCGGTGTCCACTTTGGCCGCCAGCTCGGCTCGAACGCCAGCTCCTCCGGCTGAAAGGTCTCCAATAGCCTTGCCTGCACCTCCATGGCCTCGTCCGGATAGCCCAGCAAGCCCATCTTGATGCTCACCGCCTCAAGGACTGCGGCCTCGTCCATTGGGTCACCTCTGCCCTGGTTGTCCCTCAGGAAGGCTGCAATGATCCTTTGAGCTCGTAGGATATTTGCACGGGTGGTCCGCTCGTATCCTTCATCGGCTGCTGGGCGCCACCTGCCCATTTGGCGCCTGATGTCCGGCGGAATCCTGGAAGCCGCCGCCCATGATCTCAGAGTTGCGCGCTCGCTATGTTCCGTCCACAATGTGCCAACTCCTGCGAACAACAGCGATGCCCTCTGACCTTGATCCATCGCCCACAGCTCGCCAAACAATGCTTGTGACATTGCCGATGCCGTCGAATAGTCTGCCATCCTGCGAGCAAATCCAGACCTGTCCATCGTCGGCCACGGCAACATAAAATCGCGGGTCAAAAGGCCCGCTTCCATGCTCATGTGGTTCCAGATCTTCCACCCCACCTCCAGCCACTTGGGGTAGCTGACCCAAGCTTCCTTGCTCACGTAGAACGGGAGAAGCAGGATCCTCTTCCCAGGGCCCGAGGGCTTCGACTTGTGGATGATGCCTACCAGGTGATTCTCCCTCAACTCAATGCTCCTGTTCGGCATGCCCTTGGTGTCGTCGAAACGAAGGCCAGCCCACAGCTTCACCAGGCGAAACCATGCATATGCCCTCGAGAAGGGCAGTCGGTCATCATCCATCACCATGGCCTCCATTGCTATGACAATGGCCAATGGCAGCAACAAGGCCTGTCTTGCCGGCTTCAACTCCACCGACGCCAGTCTAAGCTGCGCCTCCTCGAGCGCGTTCCTCACCGCCGAGGACTTGTGAATGAAGTCGACCTCACTCACCTCCCCGGCGAACTCCATGAACATCAGCGTCTTATATGCAGCTTCCGGCGCCGACTTGGCACAAGGCTCTTGCACGATCGCCTCCAGGTATTCGGCAAACTCTGAAGGTACCGATGGCCACGGTTTTCCGAATGTAGCCTCCAACCATTGTCCGACCTTTTGCCAAGTCTTGACGTGCTTTCTCAAAGTGTTCGGACGTCTGCCCTTGGCGATCCGCATCATCAGGGAATCTTCTGCCGTCCAGCGAGTGACTGGTAGATCGGCCTTCTTCATCAAGGCCCGTAGCTCTCCCAACCACCTCTCCCTCTCAGACTTCTCGGCCTGTTCACGCAATGCCAGGTCCGAGCCCGCTAGATGGAGCTTTCTCCCCAACCGCGTGGGCCACTTGAAGATCTTCGCCTGGCCCACCATCTTGATGCGCTCTGCAATCTCGCGGCCTTCAAGCCCTTCCATCACCTTCCGCCTCTTTTGCCTTTGATGCTCTAGATGAGCTTCAAGCAGGTCTTGGGACCCACGGCCAGCATCTGCTCTGTGGATGTTTGCTAACCTATTGTCACACTGCGTGACGAGATCCCGAAGGCCTGAAGTGTCCTGGCCGAAGGTCTCCTTCTTCTTCCTGGCAGAAACTAGGATGCAATCGAGGATCCTTTCCTCACATCCCCTCAACGTGGTCAACTTGGTCGTCGACCATCCTAGCTCTGCCAGGATATGCAAATCGGGGCCGGTCCACCCCGCCAGTGACCCACACACCCACACAGGAAAAGGTCCTGTGTGGACAAGTCCAAGGTCCTGTGTGGACAAGTCCATCGCGGCAACGCTAGATCCCCCTTGAGACGAAACCGGAAGGGGGTCTCGAACCGCGATGACTGCGCGGATCGATTCGTGACAGACCCCATGTTTCACATGAGTTATCATTTCTATTCTTATTATTTATATTCCCATTATATGTATCCTATCTTCGAAAGAAATTCCCATTCCTAATCGAAAATTATTTTTCCCCAATAATCATGCTATGGAAATCTTGCAAAACTAATAGGCTGACGGGCGCCGTTGGGTCACCGTCGGAGCTGGTAGGCGGATGGTGTCCCGGTCCGTCGGAGCTGGTAGGCGGATGGTGTCCCGGTCATGTTTTGATGGCGTCCGGATCATGTGATGTTGGTATTCGATTATGTTGCAATGACGTCCCGATCATATTTTAATTGTGACCCAGTCATGTTGTGATGGTGTCCCGGTCCTAATTTAATAGTGTCCCGATCATATTTTGATGGTATCCCTATCATATTTTGATAGTGTTCCGGTCATGTTTGGATAGTGTCCCGATCGTATTATAAAGGTGTCCCGGTTATGTTTCGATGGTATTCCGATTATGTGATAGTAGCGTGGTCATATTAAGATAGCGTTCCGTTCATGTTTAGATTGTGTCCCAATCATGTTGTGATGGTGTCCCGGTCGTATTTTAATGGTATCCCGGTTATGTTTTGATGGTGTCCCGGTCATGTTGGGATGGTGTCCCGGTTATATTTTGATGGCATCCCGGTCATATTTTAATGGTATCCCGATCATATGATAGTGTCCTAATCATGTTATGATGGTATCCCGATTATGTTTTAATGGTATCCCGGTCGTATTGTGGCGGTGTCCCGGTCATGGTTTCATGGTATCGCAATCATATGATGGTAGCGCGGTCATATTGTGATAGTGTCCCGATTATGTTTTAATTGTGTCCCAGTCATGTTGTGATGGTGTTCCGGTCCTGTTTTGATGGTGTTCCGGTCATGTTGTGATGGTGTCCCGGTCATGTTTTGACGGACGGTGTCCCGGTCATGTTTTGATGGTGTCCCGGTGATATTTTAATGGTGTTCCGATCGTGTTGTGACGGTTGTGATTGTGCCCCAATCATATTATGACGGTGTCCCGATCATGTTCTGATGGTGTCCCGATCATGTTTTGACGGTAGCGCGGTCCTGGTCCTGTTTTTAATGGTGTCCCGGTCGTGTTTTGATAGTATCCCGGTCATGTTTTGATGGTGTCCCGGTCATGTTGTGATGGTGTCCCGGTCATGTTTTGATCGTGTCCCGGTCATATTTTGATGGTCTCCCGGTCATATGATGGTGTCCCGGTCATCTAATGATGGTGTCCCGGTCATGTTTTTAATGGTGTCCCGGTCGTATTGTGACGGTGTCCCGGTCAT